ACCGGCTCGCTTTGCGCCCTCCGCCTCCTCCCGAAAACGGGCCGCGGCCGCTCCCACAATGCACCGGGCGCGCCGGGCTCCCTTAAGCGTCGCCTGAATAAAAATGCTGCTCCCGGCGGCGGAGGCCCGGCCCGCGCCTGGGCGCCGCGGGGGTCGGCCTGACTGCGCGCGGCCCTGCGGGAACCGGGCCGCCGCGCTCCCGCCGGCTGGGCCGCAAAGGTTCCTTGAGGCCGGCCACCTCTTTTTAAGAGGCGGCGGGCCGCGGCCGGAGCGGCTCGGTGGCTGCGTGCGGCCCGGGAAGGGGGCGGGGGCGCTGTGCAGGCCCGAGCGCGGCAATGATTGGTCTCGGGGGAGGGGTGGGGGGTTGCAAACCCGAGGAGCGGTGGCATCCGTTGCATGATGCAAAAAGGATTGATTTCAAAAGTTGCGAGTTGCATTGGCAGCAGCCTGGGGCGTCGTGTCCACCTCCTTTTCCCCGACCCGATGGAAAGGCCAGGAGTGATTTCTTCAACCTGGCAGTGTTCGACCGCGCTGCACCAGCGGGACGCAATACCTGCTCCTCAAACGCAGCGGTTGGAGTATGATGGAAGACAATGACCATGGAAACAATTTGCAGAGTGTAGGAGCCGAGGAAAAGCTACCTCTGCTCCAGTGAAAGATTTGAAAATATTAACGGCGCGTTTGWGTCTCACTGATTCCCATCATCTTCTCCACCTATTGTTTACCCCGGCTCCGGAGTTCACTGGAGCCTCAGTGAAATATGCAAAATCCCTGCGAAGTTTCTTGAACATTTTAATATGCTTGGTAGGAAGTTTGGGGGAAAAGCGTAAGGTTCCCCAGTTACATCATTTTGTTATTCACATGTCCCAGGAAACATGGCAGCCTACTCCTGTGTTTGTTTAAAGTGACATCAGTGAGGCAGCTTCACCTCATGAAATTGAAATGACTTTTCAGGTTTTCGACTTTCTAATGCATTGTGGATGTAAACAAAGTAAAAATGTGTCGGTGTAATGTCTTTTAGGGCTTCCCTTAAAACTGAGCAGGGTAAAGCAATGCCATACCAAACTTTTGGAGTGGGTCAGCATTTTCTGAATTATTTTGGAGCAATGGAACAGGGCTTTATGGGCGCTTTCAGGTTTTCACATTACAGAGTTGTCCATTTTCTTCTTGAAATGTTTGCAAGCTACCTAAGGTTTTAATCTAGGTGTGGATGCAGAAGTGATGCCACTTCCAAGACTGGGTGGATACAAGCTCCTCCTGTTTTTGTCTTTTTCTCCTTGACCTGTAAGGTTTCAGAAGTGCATGGTAGCATTTTTCGGTTCTTTAACGTGCAATTAGACTTTTGTAAGATCATCAGGACTCCTGCGGTTGACAAAACCGGATTTGTCTGGGAACTTCCTGGAAAGAGGACACCTGCACACAATCACCAGGTACCACTCTTCGGAGTCCAGAATCAGGGGAAAAGGATAAAAATAGTTTTATCCCGCTACACCTTTTTAAAATTGATTGTGTTTTTGGCAATGTGATTTTTTAAAGTGAAAATTTCATGATTAGAGAAAATTTGGTGGGATAGGGGTTAGGTGAAGGTGACATAGGACCCTATGCTAAGATTTGTGTGTCATGTCAAGGAGTAGTTTTAGCTCTGAAACAGTGTTGGAGGATGCCCTCTCCCAGAGGGGAAACCAGAGCAGTGTTCCTGGTTGAGAGGTCTTTGTACTAGTTAAGCCTGCAGAAGTACTTGAATTGAAAGTAGGGGGAGTGTAGATAGGGAAAGGAGCTGATGTGACTTAATGTGTGCAAAGAGGAAGAAGACCCCAAGTTTCTAGCTTGGGACAGAATGGGTAGCAATGTTTCTGATATTGGAACTCTTAGAGGGCAAGCAAGATTTGGGGTGAGTTCAGCTTTGGAAATATTAGATTCCAAGCTCACAGGGTATTCGAGGTAATTGGAAAACAGACTCATGAGT